GGAGAGGCTCCGGGGCCCGCGCCCTGCCTGCGGCGGGGCTGCTGCCTGAGACTCGGGGCCGCCGCCTCGGCGGCGGGTGGCAGCGGCGACCTCCGGCTCTCGGGGACCCGCGTCCCTAGTGAAAGTGACTTCTGCCTGGCGGAGCCCTACTCCCGGGTCCTCCGCCCTGCGGAAGGGTGGACCGGCTTCCCGACCTCTGCCATCGGAGAGACAGCGCCGTATAAATAAACGCGTTGGCAGTGAGCGCAGTTCTAAAAAAGAGTTCGGGCGCTATTGAAAGGTTGATACGTGAGGCAGGTCCTTTCAGTTTACGGTGCATAAATTTAACCATGCAAAACAAGCGAGATCTTTTGGGCTGTTAATAGGATTTTATTTTCCTCTGGTGATTTATCTTTGAGAGTACGAGTATAGGTGTTTATGTTTGGGACAGCGGCTGTGTATAATTATGTGCTCTTTATTTTCGTAGCACATATAAAGGGGTGTTTTTTTGCAGCAAGTCCGCACAACAGACATTTTCCTCATCTCTGTCGGTGGCTTAATAAACAGCAGATATAAAAGCAGAAACTTAAATGGTTTTCTGTCTAAGTTAAACAAATTTTGCGACATGTAATAAATACCTTCAAATTTTGAAATATAAAATTTGTATTAATGTCTGAAAACGTTATGAACACATCGATATAAAAAGTTGTGTATAGAGTTCATGGTAGTGTGAGACACATGGCCACCTATTTAGAGAGTAGGGAATTAACCAAATAGAGACACTGTTTGCTTTATGCTTAATTGGCAGTCAAACACTGCCTCTTAACTCTTGTGATTCAAGTAAGGTGTCTTAGGCTCTAATTTGGAAGGAAAAAAAGCAAAAGTTAATTACTTAAATACTGTAAAAGCAAAATGTACTCCTTTGGAATTGGTAGATAACTTTTTCGTCTTTTTCTTTTAAACAGCAGTTCTGTGGTGTTCTCGGTCACACATTTATGGAGTTTCTGAAGGGCAGTGGAGATTACTGCCAGGCACAGCACGACCTCTATGCAGACGAGTGAACTGTAGAGATCCCTAACTGCTCCACCAAGAAGCCCCGGAAGAGTGGCTCACCTGGACACAGAAGTG